CTTGTCAGGCTCACCTGCCCATTCTCTCGCTCCTCCTTCAGCTCCTGCCTCAGCTGCTCTACCTGCCGCTGCCTTTGGTTTAGCTCTCGCTGCAGGCGGCACACCTTGTCTAAATGAGCAGCCTTCTGGCGCTGGAGCTGCACAGAAACAAAGAGAAGACACCTTCAAACTTCCCACCCACCACCTGTGTGGCAACCAAGACTCATGTGCTCACGCTTTCCAAAAGCAATTTGCTCTCCTTCTCCTGTTTACCAAGGGCCAGCTAAGACACAATCCCACCCACACACACAGTGTCTGGAGAAGCAGTGCCCATAAGGAGCCCCAGAAGCGTCCAAACTCTCTTGGCACTCTCTTTGCATCTTGACCAGCCCTGGTTCCCATCTTTTCTTCTTCAGGTTGCATTACGGCAATCTCCTGCTTCATCTCAAGCACCCTTTTCTCCTGCTCCCTCTGTACCTCTGCCAGGAAGTGTTCCCGCTGCTCCAGCACCTTCAAACGCTGTTGTTTCAGCCGTCTTTCCTGATGAGAGGAATAGACACTTCCAAATGAAGTCCCAGCCATGCTCCCCAAAGAAAACAATGGAAGCTTCATCCCTCCCACAGCCCCCTGCTGCTGAGTGCACAGTAGTGGCTCTGTGCCCTCCAGCACTTCTGTCCTGACAAGAAACTTTGGAGGAGTGTCAGCAGCTGGAAGGAAAGGGGATGCCACCTTCCTTCCCCGCTCTGATGGCTGCCTGTTTCCTCAGGCCCCTCTCTCCTCAGGATTTCTGCCTGTTCTCAGAGGCTCTCTTCTCAAAGTCCTCTACCCTTTGATAAAGGAAAAGCTGCAGGTGGACTGCAGGATGAGGAGGAGGCCAGCACCCCAAAGCCAGAGTCACAAGACAGGCCACCAGCTGAAATACCAGCAACAGGGGGCCTGTTGCGTATGCTTCAAGCCCAAAGGGAAGAGCTCTGTCCACCGTGCAAGGACAGAAAGCAAGGAAGGCAGTTGCTGGGACTGCAGGTGGCAGCAAGGTCAGCAGACTGCTACACGGTACCAGGGTGTCAGCAAGGTCCTGCCCCTTCACTGCCGTGCTTTGTGTGCGACCACCCAGCCTCCAGGGGAGCGTGGCTCATGGCCTCCCTGAAACCGTGGCTGCGTTCAGTGCCCCAGCACCCTCCTCTGGGCATTCACAGCCCTTCAAGTCTGAGCCCTTGAAGCCCTCTGCTGCCTGGCCCAGCAACGTCAGGCCTGCAGCAGAGGCTTGCGGCCATGTCCCATTCTCAGGCTGCTATTCTGCTAAGCCAGCCCACCAAGCTTGCCTGAAAAGTTCAGGTGTGTATTGCTTCCTACCTGTTTTTGCAGGAGCTTCCTTTTCTCCTCCTCCTGAGCAGATTGCCAGAGTCTCAGAGCCTTGCTGAACTGCTCTTCTGCCAAGCGGAGCTGTTGGGCCATTTCTTCACATTGCTGCTTGCTGAAAGATCTTACAGCTTGCAGCTCACAACGAAGGCCCCTGACATCCTCTGCAAACACGACAAACAACAACAGTCAAAGACTCTGCTGAACTTCACCCCTTTCAGATTCAGGCAAGGAGGGACCTGCCCCCAGCCCCTTCACTCCTCGGAAGCCCTGCTGACAGAGCTGCCTTGGGAGCAACTGCACTAGGCAGGGCCATCACCAGAAACAAAGCGCACGAGGCTCTCACCAAGTATCAGCTCCTTGGCCTGCATGGCTGTGCCTACTTGGCCTTCCAGACGGCTCCTGGTGATCTCCAGCTCCGACACCTGCTGCAGAGCCTCCAACAGGCTGCATTGCAAGCTCTTCTTCTCTGTCCTAAAAGTTGTGAAGATGAGGACAAATTGTTCGTGGCACACACGGGCAGTTTTTCCAGTAAGTGCCTTAAGATCCCTGCACCTGAGTATGGAAAACAGCTGGCATGGAAACGCAGATAGAGCAAGACTATTTCTACCACTTCAAATAGCAAAGCAGACCCTTCCAGGAGATTGGCCAGCCTTTCCCCACGACCTAGCCCAGCACAGAAAGCCCAGCTGAGCTTGATCTCAGCAGCCAAAGCTCAAATTGCTCTTCCCTCACATATCCCACACGGGTGGCTGTGCCCACAAAATCTCTAGCAGCAAGCAAAAGGCCAGCCTCTGCTCACAGCCCTGAGCTCATCTGCAATTCCAAGTCACTCTGCAGGGGGACAGAGCACCGTGCTCTCCTGGCTGTTTCATCCATGCTTTATGCCATTCACGGTGTACGTAAGAGATACTTAATTTTCCACACCCTCTCTAAGTTCAAGGCACTAAAGGAATGCACCGAACCATACATGAGAGCTGCAGCTTCTAGCAGCACCAAGAGCAGAGAGAAACCAGAACTAGGCTTTCATCTGAAAATGAACTCTCTGGCAGGAGGGGCATGTATCCTGCCATTTAAATTACTGGAATATCATGAATAACAACAACTGCCACCTTTAGTTTTGGCTAAATAAGTCTGCACTGCCCAAAATGTTTTGGCACTCTTTGAAAAGAAGAGAGACCAGCCAGAGTAACCTTGACAGGTTCCAGAGCTGAATGGACAAGTGAGCAAGAATCAGTGCTCAGCAAGAATCCTCAGGGACTGTCAAGAAC